TATAACATAATTTTATTAAATAAAAAAAATTTTATTATAAATTTAAAAATAATAATAATAATAATAATAATAATAATAATAATAAAATAATAATAATAATAATAATAATAATAATAATAAATAATTAATAATAATAATAATAATAATAATAATAATAATAATAATAATAATATTAATAATAATAATAATAATTAATAATAATAATAATAATAATAATAAAATATAATAATAATAATATATAATAATATAATAATATATAATATAATTAATTATAATTTTTATGATATTTATTTTAATATTTAATCTAATAATAAAAATTATGTATTAATAATTATAAGGCTAATTATAATAATAGTATAATTAGTGATATGAATACATTCTCTAGTAATCTGAATTTAATATGTAATAAATATTAGTATGTGAGTTAATGCTTGAATATATACTATATCATATCCTTCATTAAAATCTAATTATACTTTTTATGATACTTTTTTTATGTTATTTTTAGATGTTTAAATTTGCTAGACTCATAATGTATGTATTTGTGATAGGTGGATACATTCGCTGTATGCTGAATGTATTACTGTATTAATATTGTCTGTGGTTCACTGGCTTGAGTTACTGTTCTTGGCCTTCTTACGAAATGCTAGATTTACAGTTTCTAGATATCATGTGTATGTTGAGTTAAAGCTCTTGCGCCTCAAAAGGTCTGAATCTCTAGCTCCTGCACCTGAGCTATACCACGCTGAGCTGCAGCTCCTCTGACTCTTTCGTGCCTGGAGGTAGAGAGGGCTGGGGTTATATGATACTGGTAATCTTTCACAGGTCACTGAGGTAACGAGTGACTTGGGTGTCTGTGAACAAGGATATCCTTATCGGTTCATTAAGGTAGAGAGGGACGATGATAATGGATGTTAGGATACCATTCTTGTGCTGTTGTGACAGAGATGGACTAAGTGTTAGGATACCAAAATTCTCTCTCAGCCACCGACACGTATCTAGTAATTATATATCTTTCAACGCACTTGCCGTATCCCACCCAGGCAGGGTGGCCCAAAAGATAAACAAAAGTTTCTCTTTTTAAATTTAGTAATATATAGGAGAAGGGGGTTAGTAGCCCCTTGCTCCCAGCATTGTAGTCTCATCTTACGACACGCATGGCTTACGGAGGAAGAATTCTGTTCAACTTCCCCATATATATATATGTCGTGCCGAATAGGTACAACTTGTGATTTTGGCTTAAATATCAACGTTCTTCCTATCCGTATAAGGCAAGAGAAAATTTGTGTATGCAATAATTTCGCAAAAATTATTCTGAACCTAAAGAGAAAAAATATACTTCATTGTGTTTGTTTATTACTGAATTATTTTAAACTTATCTAAAATATACTTAGTTGGATTAGGCTAAATTAAATTGCGCTTGTTATAATAAGGTTTGGTAAGTTTTCTAAGGTTCTTTTGGTACAAAATTATTAATTTTTACATATTAATTTATAATTAATATTTTTTTTTCAAAAAGTCGGCCGTCTCCCACCGAGGCAGGGTGACCCAATAATGAAAGAAAATCCCCAAACACAAAATACTTTCATCATCATTCAACACTTTCACCTCACTCACACATAATCACTGTTTTTGAAGATGTGCTCAGAACACAACAGTTTAGAAGCATATACGTATAAAGATACAAATATATCCCTCCAAACTGTCAATATCCCGAACCCCTCCTTTAGAGTGCAGGCATTGTACTTCCCATTTCCAGGACTCAAGTCCGGCTATATAAAAATAACCTATTTCCCTGAATCCCTTCACTAAATATTACCCTGCTCACACTCCAACAGCTCGTCAGGTCCCAAATACCATTCGTCTCCATTCACTCCTATCTAACACGCTCACGCACACCTGCTGGAAGTCCAAGCCTCTCGCCCACGAAACCTCCTTTACCCCCTCCCTCCAAACTTCTCGAGGACGACTCCTACCCCGACTTCCTTCTACAGATTTATACGCTCTCCATGTTATTCTACTTTCTTCCACTCTCTCTAAATGACCAAACCACCTCAACAAACCCTCTTCAGCCCTCTGACTAATACTTTTATTAACTGCACACCTTCTCCTAATTTCCACACTCCGAATTTTCTGCATAATATTTACACCACACATTGTCCTTAGACAAGACATCTCCACTGCCTCCAACCGTCTCCTCGCTGCAGCATTTACCACCCAAGCTTCACACCCATATAAGAGTGTTGGTACTACTATACTTTCATACATTCCCTTCTTTGCCTCCATAGATAACATTTTCCGTCTCCACATATACCTCAACGGATAGTGTTACCAGCAGCAATTAGGGCAGCTTCTGTACACTTTCGCCACCTTAAATCGTCTTCCTTAATTACTAGTCTACCCTCACTGAGTTTCCTGAGGTGTTCAACATCGTCCCTATGATGAACACACGCGTTTTTACGACTATCACTATTGTAAGCGGTTTTGTGTTCCTTGATCCTAATATCCAGATATCTGGCTGTTCCCTTTTCCCAACATATAGGTGGTCACCCCCATCACATAATTGTGTACTTCTGCACTCGTATCAGTGTCATTCTTGGGTTTTTACACTAGGTTTCGAATGACAGTCGAAGAACTGGTGTATATTTTACCTAGTTTTCTATGAAAATTTTTAGAAACGTTAGTTTGAATGTCGCTGACAGGTAAAACATTGTAAGTTGGAGGTTTTTCTTTTTTTAAGGTGCCTTTATTACCCATCTGTAAGTTCTCGTCAACACATCAACATTAATAATTGTATTAACCAACTCACTTTTACGGTCTCCAGACCACCCCATCAACACCAGTGATGTTGTTATGTGATCTCCAGACCTCCAATAACACTTCCCCTGCATCAAGACTTATAATAATAATAATAATAATAATTTATTATTATTATTATTATTATTATTATTATTTTTATTATTATTATTACAATATTAATATTTCTGTCATTTACAAACATTGTCTCTAATTTCGTCTGCTTGCGAATTGCTAAGCATTACTATTATCATTATTATTATTAATCTTACTAGTATTATTATTATTATTATTATCATTATTATCATTGTTGTAATGTTGTAATTATTATTATTCAATTCCTGGAAAAGCGTTAAACTCGTAAGGGTCACGTAGTGCCACAATAATTCAGAGGCACTCAGGCTTGACCCGAGAAAAAGACTGTAGTTCTAATTCCTCGGATCAGGGGCCTATCAACAACATTCAGACACTCACCTTGATGCCACTCCCGCAGAAGACGACAGTGAATTTTATCTTCACTGGGAAGAGCTAAACCCGCGAGGATAGAAAGGGAAGCCGGAATTCCTGGAATCAAGAATTAATACACAAGAGGACGCTCGATCTTCCGTCCTTTTCCCACCTGAGGAACGGATCATCCTTTCCTCACGGACGGAGGATCCGTTCCTCACTCCGGTAGCCAGGCTTCCTAGCTCTCAGCGAGGTGCTGAAAGATAGCTACCGTTTATCTGCAGGTGAGCAGAGGTGTCGAATAATAAGCACCTTATTCGTAAAATATCGGCTATATATCGTGACACAGGTATGGTGGTAACCCAGAGGATATATTCACCAGGGTAACTCTTATTGCTGAAGTTACTTGTTTGCAAAAATAGTGTAACTTTTAAAGTGAAAATTAATTTGTATATATATATATATATATATATATATATATATATATATATATATATATATATATATATATATATATATATATATATATTATATATATATATATATATATATATATATATATATATATATATATATATATATATTATATATATATATATATATATATATATATATATATATATATATATATATATATATATTATATATATATATATATATATATATATATATATATATATATATATATATATATATATATATATATATATATATATATATATATATATATATATATATATATTTCATCAAACCGGCCGTATCCCACCAAGGCAGGGTGGCCCAAAAAGAAAAACAAAAGTTTCTCTTTTTAAATTTAGTAATTTATACGGAGAAGGGGTTACTAGCCTCTTGCTCCCGGCATTTTAGTCGCCTCTTATAACACGCATCGCTTACGGAGGAAGAATTCTGTTCGACTTCCCCATGGAGATAAGAGGAAATAAACAAGAACAAGAACTAGAAAGAAAATAGAAGAAAACCCAGAGGGATATGTATATATACATATATATGCTTGTACATGTATGTGTAGTGTGACCTAAGTGTAAGTAGAAGTAGCAAGACGTACCTGAAATCTTGCATGTTTATGAGACAGAAAAAAGGACATCAGCAATCCTACCATCATGTCAAACATGATAGGACGGTAGTACCTCCCTGGGCGGTTGCTGTCTACCAACCTACTACCTAGACTTGAGTATCTATACTGAGGAAATGTTTTGACACACAGTGTCTTCATCAGTCCCACACAAGGGAGAACGGTGAAGATCAGAAGGAGCTTGAGATAATCAGCCCCTCAATCTTCTCAAGACTGATGGACTGATTACATCAACTCCAGGCTGAGGGACTGGCTACCTCAAACCACTCCTGATCCCCACCACTCACCCTTGTATAGGACTGATGAAGCCACACAGTGGCTTCATCAGTCCTATGTGAGAGGATACCCATTAATTAAAAATTAATGTCAAAAAAAGACCAAAACAATAGGTGCTAAATCCCTCCTAATTTTCCTTGAATCTAAAACCCCAGATACTTATTATTTACTTAATACTGGCATGTTTGGCTACTAATATTTTTAGTTTAATAATACTGAATGATTTACCACTTTAAAAAGCAATCTTTTACTGATATCATCAAATACATTCTTATGAATATAATTTCCAAAATTTATTTTTGAACAGAGGTATTAGGATACAAAAGAAAGACCTCAAAAAAAAAAGTAAATCACCTTGCTCTGGAAAATATAAATATATACAGTACTTTCATCACAGTTTACACAGACAAAAGAGAATGGGAATAGCGGCCCCTATAGCAACAAACACGGGTAGCATAGAACTGGTGTCGTCCAGGGCATAGGGGTCGGGAGTGCGAGGACCGCTGGGTCGGAGCTTCATAGTCTGCGACTGTTTGTTTTGGTTATTACTGTTTGGCAAGTTTGCACTCGGCCGGGGCTCCTCTACATCACTATCGAGATCCTCTTCCCTGAGTAAAGGCGGCACCTTGGGCACATTATCTAATCTTCCCTTGATTACAAAAATTGCATTGACTTTCGGATTATCTTTGTAACCCTTGACAAAGTCAACCTTGACTTTGCTACTTCTGAGTGGACTCTCTTGACCCCCAACTATAAGTGTGTTATAGAGAATTGTGAAAGGAACATACTCGTTGTGAGCCACGCCTCTGCCCACTCTGCCGAAGATGTCAAGTGCCGGAACTACTGTAATATAGTTGTTCATTACAACATCAAATACCTTGTGATCTAGTGCACTGAAGTACAGCTCTGAAAATTTAAGAACGTAGTCTCCGTCACCTTTGAGAGGAATTTCATATCCAAAAGTTGAATGGTGATGCCTTTCAGTCTGATACAGCACCTGATCACCAGGTGGCACTCTTCCAATAACAAATTGCTTGCCGAAGTCCGAAGCTGTGCCCACTTTACCAGTCAGGGGATCCTTCTCATACCTCACACCATAAATATCAATGTGTGCATCACCACCTGCACTGACGGCATATCTAACCTCCCCCAGGCTATATATACATATATATATATATATATATATATATATATATATATATATATATATATTTATATATATATATTATATATATATATATATATATATGATGTATAGTATATATATCAATAACACTACGACACTGCGACTAGCCGAGGACTCGAACCCATGTCGTTTTGGCCCGCCTTATGTGAGCGAATATGACATGACAATCTAACCCACAGGACCACCAAATCCTACGAGAATCAAGCACCCAGTAGAGCTAGATGTGTTACCGCTCACCATGAGGTGGGCCAAAGAAGCATGGGTTCGGCTCCTTGGCTAGTCGCAGTGTTGTTATTGATTTATATATATATATATATATATATATATATTATATATAATATATATATATATATATATATTATATAATATATATATATATATATTATGTACTGCCGAATAAGTAAAACTTGCGATTTTGGATTAAATAGCAACGCTCTTCTTGCCGAATAAGGCAAGTGAAAATTTGAGTAGGCAATAATTTCGCAAAAGTTATCCTGAACCTAACGAAAAAAATATATTTAATTGTATTTGTTTATTATTAGATTATTGTAAACTTATCTAAAATATATTTAGTTGGATTAGACTAAATTAAATTATCCTTGTCATAATAAGGTTAGGTAAGTTTTCTAAGGTTCTTTTGGTACAAAATTATTAATTTTTAAATTATTAATTTTTAAGCGTATAAGAGAAAATTTAAAAGGACTTAATTTTAAGTGAGTGCTTGCTAATTGACCAGTTTTACCTATTCGACACCACAAACTCACACACACACACACACACACACACACACACACACACACACACACACACACACACACACACACACACACACACACACACACACACACACACACACACACACACACACACACACACACACACACACAATATATATATATATATATATATATATATATATATATATATATATATATATATATATATATATATATATATATATATATATATATATATGTTAGGTAAGACACATATGCAACAGTTAGGTATCTTTATTTCGAAATAAAGATACCTAACTGTTGCATATGTGTCTTACCTAACAACCTGTCGGTATTTCATACCATTTTAATGTTCATATATATATATATAAACAAGAACGGAAGTCAACTGTGTATTGTTATTTGTGTGCGTTAATGTTTAAAAAGTAGTGGTGCTTGGGTATGTTTCAAAGGAGAGAGAGAGAGAGAGAGAGAGAGAGAGAGAGAGAGAGAGAGACAATGAATTTACATTTCTGGTGTTGCTAGAATTCCTCATGAGGAGACATGTTTAATAAACTGAAGATTTAATATACGCAAACAACTCAAATAATCAAAAAAAATAATAACTAGAGTATGACTTACGCCAAGAGGGAGGAAGTGAGCTCATTAGATAGTCACAAAGCCTAAGACTTACTCGTTACTGGTCAGTTATTTTTATAACTGGCTTTTATAATTTAAGATTTCGTGCGCAGGTAATGTCGTAAATATTCTATGTGGGTATAAATAATTTTGACCGTCTAGTTTATCAACATAAATATTCTGTACGCACTGGAGATATTAATTACAATAAAATTATAAATAATAAAAATAATTATAGCAATGATAGTAACGAAAATAATAATAATAATAATACTAATAATTATGATTTTTCAAGAACTCAGTTCCCTTGCAAGCCGTGGCAATCAACCTACGTCACAGGCTTTCTAACACCCAGAAGTAGGTTTTAATCCATACGATATTCCAAAAATTTTTAATTGAGTGGCAATGACGCATCATTTTAAAGTTCTTTTCAAACGAATTGAAAAACTGTAGCAGCGTTCAAACTTTTTTTATATCTATGTTTATATATATATATATATATATATATATATATATATATATATATATATATATATATATATATATATATATATATATATATATATATATATATATATATATATATATATATATATATATATTTTGGAGAGGGGGGAGGATTTTTTTTTCATGGTTGTACTAACTTGAATCAACCATCATTTTATTACGAATAATGCTTTCGTATCAAATATTTACACTCGCCTTCTAACGAGGCAGAGGTAGAGATGTGACTCCCCTAATCCCACCCAATACATCAGATGTGGGGGTGCGTAACTCCCACACCGACCTCCTGACATGACAAGTGCAGAGGAGAAAACTTTATAAACAATTCGAACTACTAAACTAAGAAAAATAATAATAAACTCTTTAATATTTAAGTAATCCAGAGCAATGCCATTTTTTTCTAGCTAGTAATCATATTCAGAGGAACATTAAAAATAATAGTAATAATAACAATGTTTGCGATAACAAAAATAATAACAGTACAAATAATTATAATAATAATAATAATAATAATAATAATACAATAATAAAAATATTAATGACAACAATAATAATTATAATCCTTTCACAGTTTAATTTAACTATACTCAAAACTCGATAGACTCATTCCTAGAAATTCGTTAACTTTCATAATCGCAGTTGTTAATTACCTCACCTTAAGTGCAACCAGCGAATACCAAACATTTTTCTGGTTCATTTCCTTTTATTTTTTTGTTCAGGTTGTCATGTGTCAATATTTACCACTTTAGAATAAATTACAGGAAAAATGGTCTCTGAAACCAAAGATGAATCCATATCAGAAACAAAATGAGTTATGCAGATTTAATTATGCATTATTCGTTGCTTCTGCTTTCATGCGACTTGTGTGAGCATAACCTCGTACACTCATCCAATGTTCTACTCACGTCAGATGTGTTGAAGGAAAGCATCACATGGTTTTTCATGGGAGTCTTTTAGTGCTCTGTAAGTCTATCTTAATTATCTGCATTTATTTCTTTGGTCACGATAACTCTTTATGGTACTTCTTATTTTGTTATACCTTGGTATTAAATACCGGCAAACTGGCTTAGCAAGACACGTGAGCAAACACTAGGATATATTTATAAGATAACTTTTCGGTCCTGGGACCTTGATCAAGGTTCCAGGACCGAAACGTTTTCTAATAAATATGTGCTGCGTTTGCTCACGTGTCTTTCTAAGACACTTCCTCTTGTCTTCTATTTCCGATTTCCTCTTTAACTCTTCATCAATGGTTGATGAGTTCTACAACTGCTGTCTTGGGTCTATGACTCTTGATTGAGCAAACAAAGCAGTCATTCAGCTCACCTCTGTCTATCCTCTTCAACTTCACTGCTTTCAGATTAACAATGTTATTCCAGTTTTTCCAGTCTCTTCTATTTTCCTCAGCACTTGATATCCTGCTGTGAATATTGCATCTGATATCATGAAAGATTTATCCCCGAAAGAGATATAATACTCGAAGTTGCCTCTTCAATTCTTCCTTTCTACTTATCATTTTATTTCGTATTCCATCTGTGTAAAGTAGAATACTATGATCTAATTTATAACGTCTTGGTTTCCTGTTCTTTGCTGGTGTGTAAAGCGAAGAGTGATGCAGGTGGAAATGAAGGTGAGATGGGTATTGTGTAAGAGAGGCATGATACAGTAACCAACACACACTTGCCTGCCAGTTTTAGAACTGGTTTGCCACGGGTTCGACCCCTCTGTTCTTTGAATTACTTGATATTATGTGCACAACTGCACAAAGATGGAACGTGGAAATAGGTGGGGATTTGAGGGGAAAAAGTGTGTAGTAGTTCTCGAAATCTTATACTTTTTATTTGTTACCAGTGCAACTACAACAGCAGATACCACAACTACACCAGTAGACCTCACTACCACACCAGCAGGCCCCCACAGCAACGCCAACACACGCCCCAGCGACAATACCCAACCCTAACACCTTCACTCAGGAGAGCTGGTACGCTGGCGCTGTTCTCAATTATCCAGCAGTTTATTACTGTGGATGGTCCAGCACTGGGATAAACTGCAGCTAAATCGAGACTCTGAATTAATATCCACGTGAAGTGCTTCGTTTTTTGAAAGTGACTTACAAAAGCATGTGTCTTAATCATGAATTTGTCAGTATTATTTACCGAACATTTGATTAACAAGGCATATGTTTCTCTTGGGTTTTGTTAAACAATAGCTGATTCGGGCTACACAAAATTTTTCCTTAGCATGGAATTGCTTGCGTGTTGGTGAAGGGTTCTTTATCCAAGGTATCGGAACTATCCACCTCTTCACTGGATCATACCTTATCCATGTCCCTGGCGCTATTTGAAGCCTCGGTGTTTATCTTTCTGCATGAAAGTAATAATAATAATAATAATAATAATAATAATAATAATAATAATAATAATAATAATAATAATAATAATAATAATAATGGTGAATATTACACAAATAACCCGCACATAAAAGAGAGAAGCTTACGACGACGTTTCGATCCGACTTGGACCATTGACAAAGTCACACTGTTATTTAATAATGGTGAATTATAGTGTATAAAAACTAGAGAAATCAAACAGAATTGTTTCTATCTTGATAAAGATTGCTACGCTGGGCGAAACGTCGTGTATAAAGTCTCTATATTACTGCATTATCTCGGAGTCTCATACGGTCGATATGTACTGACAATAAATAGATCGAGTTGTTGTGGTATCTATAAGAAGATTTCACTATTAACAATTTTAATAATATTAGCAACAACAAAAATATCGAAAACAAGAAAATGAGTAACAAAAGCAACAACAACCATAACGACAAGAACAGTTATAACAACAACAGCTAAAACAACGGCGACATCAACAACAAACAACTACATAGAAAAAACAACGTAATCAACTAACAACAATAATTATTGCAGCAACACAACAATAAAGTCAATAAAAAACATCAGTAAGAAACAACAACTGCAATACCATAACATCCATTATTAAAATTATCATCAATATATCACAACACATCAACAACAGCAACAAAAATACGCCAGCATCATCAACATTAACAACAAAACTAACAACACATCAACAGCGACAACACATCA